TGCTTTTGCCCTGCGGTCGAGGCTGGCATGGGCGGGTCTCCCTTAGGAGGCCAGGGGTCTGAGTGGGACCCTCGCTGTTCACTGGACACCTCAGAGTCCTGGATGGTGGAGAGCTGCCTCTTCCTTATGGGGCCCATGGGGCTGAGCCCTGCCAGGGAAGATGAGAGGTCCCAGGAGGAGTGTGCAGGCAGTGGGGACCCACCAGCAGGGCCCTCTTCCTGGTGGGAGGGGACATGGCCTGGTGTTTCCATGCGCCAGCGGAGGGTAGCCCCCTCTGGGGTGCTGTGCTTTGGGACATTTCTCAAGGATGGCCATCTGGTCACTGAAGAAATGCTCTCATCTTCAGAGGAGCTCAACCTAGGAACCTGTCAAAACAAAGCACAGAGGTTGGTGTCCTAGAAGGTCACAGCAAGCTGAGCCTCAAGGTGGGCACCAAGCCCAACTGGGCACATTGTCCTGGAGGTACGATCACCACGAGGCAGACCCTCCAGTCTGCCTCCTCGAGGGGCGCCTGCAGCACCAGGATGAGACCCAGCACGGAACAAGACCACACTCATCTTGGGCCTGTCTTTTCCCTGGTTGTCTTCCCTTGGTCAAAATTTTAACTTTTTGTCATCAGTCAAAATGTTTAAGGATAGGACTGAAAAACAGATAACTTTCGGGTAACATTTTTTAAGAAAAAAAGTTTACAATGTTAATGAAATCATCTTAACATTGAAACTCAACATGAAATAGCAAAACCACGGATTAACACAAGTTTTTTGCACGGAAGTAAACTGTGTTGGGCAGGTGAGGGTTCTGAGGGTGGGGTGGGGTGTGATGTTTTTGAAAAGCTGGATAATGTCCCAGTCCCAAACTCGATGACAGATGGTAGCAATTCCATCATAGACAATTTTGTTTTCTTCTTTCAAAATAAATCCTTGATTAACCCATCAGAGGTGCTGAAAATACAGTCTAGGGAGGGTTCCCAGGGATACATTCATTCCATGGTGTGTGCTGGAATATTCAAAATCTGTTCACCTTAATTTCTCACAGCATTCTCATGAGGTGAGTGTGATCATCATCAATGATCTGAGGGGAAGTTGAAGCCCAGGCGGGGTGAGTGACAGGAAGCAGGTGAGCAGCAGGGACAAGCTACAGACCAG